TATCGAAAACGTTGGGGGGGGGGGTGCTTTGTGCTTGCAAAACTGCTGATGGAAATAATTTTAGATGGGAGGAAAACTGTATCTTAACACTTTTCAAACAAACTAAAAGTTAAAATTTATATTGCATTTTTTTCCATCACCATGTTCCCTTAGAGGCTCCATACTTTAGCAACTGCATAGAAACTCCCTGATGATCATTTGTGGTTGTTTTCATATTTTGTATATGATTTCAGATGATGTTTCAATATTCTCTGCATCACCGGGCCTCGACCGTCTCTCCGATCAGACGAATGGCTCCCCCCAGCCGACGCTTCCTGCCCCACAGAGTATCAACAATGATGAATCCGGTGATACTGCGTTTTCTCCTAGATCTACACTCCAAAGGTAGCCGAATCAACTTTGTGTTTGTAACTAGCACATAAAGCTATCTCTTTAATTCGACCAGCCACATCAGAATATTGTTTTATGCATCTAACTGATGCCCCCTCTAACATTTCTTCTATTGTGCACTCACAAGAGCTCTGATTAGCTAGGCTGCTTTCTCATGGCCTCAAGCTCCATTGAGCCTGTTTAGGGGCAGTCAGTGCAATCAGACTCCGTCCTCAGAGACCCTGTGGGGGGAAAACAATGAGATATAGCCTGTAACAGTGAGAACCCCTGACTGTCCTCACTCGGTGTAACTGAGAATCTCTGGGCTCATTCATAGTGTCATCAGTGGCGTGGGAGAAATGGATCTGGACAAGAACGGACAGAAGAGCATCCAAAACTCTCCAGTGTCTACCTCCAACATCACAGAGTGTCCCTATCCTGACTGCCCATATCTGTTGCTGGATGTGCGGGACAGAGAGCAGTATGACCACTGCCATATTATCAGTGGTAGGAAACTTATGTTTAATTAAGTTATGTTTAAATCTCTAATAAAGAGATTAAAATTATTTATATTAATGTTATCTGTTAATAAATGTATCTGTTTTTTGCTCATAGCATATAGTTACCCCATTGCGACCTTATCAAGGACAATGAACCCATACACGAAAGAAGTGCTTGATTATGTATCCTTTTATTCCTGATATATTTGTAATAATATATTTTTAATATATAATTATATTTTTCATTGTAAATGTATGAAATGCACTTCCATATTTATTTATTTTTTAATTATTTTTTACTTTTATAATTTGTATTATTTATTATTCATTCATTCATTGGAACTCAAACTTTTATTGCAAACCTATGTTGTGCATGTATGAAAATTGTATATTAATTAACAATTAACATCAACAGTCTGTATATTAATAAATGTATATTATTTATTAGTATATGATCATTATATGAATTTATATATAATGAATAATATATGTGAAGGAGTAAATGAATAATTTATTTCATACATGAACAATGAATAAATAAAATATTTATTGTTAGGATTGGAACAGTATCTTGAAATTGTAAAAAAAAACAAAAAAAACAATCAAGTCACACTGTTATTGTGTTTTAATGAATAATGATTTTTGTTATTTCAGTTTCTTGTGTACTCGTGACCATAGCTAGTGTTAAAATCTTTTACAACTATGCAGAAAAATGCATCGGGAAAGATCATAATTTTGTATGATGAGGATGAGAGGATAGCAAGTCAAGCCGCCACCACCATGTGCGAGAGAGGCTTTGAGAATCTCTTCATGTTGTCAGGGGGTGAGTCAGACGAGAGACTGATAGCAAACTTCAGAAGTCTAGCATGAAAAAAATGTAATTACTTCTCACAGAAGTGAAAATAACATGTTCCTTTTCAGATTAATATATATAGATCATTGGGGTCTCAGGGATCTCCAATACATGTGGGTTCATCCTGTCAGTATGAGATTTGTATTTAATGCCATTTATTCTTTAACTGATCTTTTCCTTTTTCAACAAGGTTTAAAAGTGGTTGCACAGAAGTTCCCTGAGGGAATGACAACTGGCTCCATTCCCATCTCCTGTCTGCCGTCACCCTCGGGACCTGGAGGTCGTAAGCGATCGGTTCCACAGCAGACATCACAGCCAGCAGAAAAAAAGTGGCGCTTCACCTCAGAAGACCTCAGCAAAATCCAGCATTACCAAGAGGAAGTGTTCATACCCAGTGAGCCCAGCAGTGAGTCATCCATTTCAAATCTGATGAAACCAACATAACCATTGTCACTGTGTTATGAACAACACACCAGTAGATGGCAGCAAAATATCTAAATGCAACCACAGCCATCTCAGTATGATTTTTTTTTTTGGGGGGGGAAATTATTCATTTATTAGGAACTTGTTTCATTTCATTCCTACATAAAATATATGTTTGATCTTATGCTCATCAGGGCTGCATATATGTGACAGTAATATTGTGAAATATTATTGTAGTTTAAAAGAACTGTTTTCTATTTGAATGTATTTTAAAAGGTCATTTATTTCTGTGATGGCAGAGCTGAATTTTCAGCAGCCATTACTCCAGTCTTTAGTGTCACATGATCCTTCAGAAATCATTCTAATATGCTGATTTGCTGCCATAATTATTATTATCAAATATTATTGGTGCTCAATTTTTAATAATATGTACTGTATATTCTTTTACTGTTTAGTAGTGTGATCATTATTTTTTTCCCCCATTTAAGGTCGTCTCAGCAGCAGAATGTCCACTAGCAGCGCTCGCTCCTAAGCATCGACAGTTTCTTCATCATTGTCATCTTCAATCTTATGCAAATAAAGCCTTTATATTTTACTTTTGCGGGATTCCTGTGAACATGGACACTCTAAACTACTGGTATTTTTTTTCAGTTCACTCTTATTATGCCACATGCACATTCTCAGAACTACACTGGGAGAAACTGAACATTTCTTGGTTCTGGTAGTACACACAAATGGCACTGTTTTATTATTATTTCAATTTATTCACATATCTTTGCACTGCAGACTCCAAATCCAAACTACATGTTTAAGATCTAAATCTGTTTCTGATTTGCCGCTATCAGTTTTTTGGCATCACTAGCCATTTATACTATAATGATGGTACAAGATGTCTAGGGTTTGACATCTTATCCCTTTTAATGCATATGTAGGTTCTTCTATATGTTATGCAAGTAAGCAGGTCTTAGTGGAAGGACTCCACTTCTTGTTGGTCATTTTCTGTTCAATGAGCATGCTGGTTTAGCTACTGTATGTTTACTTGCTCACTAGGTACAGTATGTATGTCGCAGTGCTTTAGAAATATTTTAGATGTGCTGATTTTTGCCTTAAAGGCAGAGCTTGTCTGTTTGTTCAGTGCATTTATTTAAATGTTTGATGCTTTCCAAACCAGTGCAAAAAGATTTTTCTTCATAATCGGCGTCTACTCAGCTGTGATTTGAATGTTATGAAATGTAGATATGATTGCGGGCATTAATGAAGATGATGTTTCTTTGTGAAACTTTGTATTGTCTGTTGCAGTGCCTGATGAAGGAACTTGAAGTGCGTTTATTGGAGTCAGTGTATATGGAATGTGTACATGAAGTGGTAGAAAGTGCTTTGTTTGGCCTTTGTTGTCCACGTTTCTGTGCTTATTGACTGAAATCAGTTATCCCTGTTCTGTTGTAGACTTTGTTTTATTGACCAATTAAGTAATTTAATTTAATCAATGAAAACTACCTGGTTTGTTATGTTGTATTGAAGGCTGAATAAAAATCAATTTTATATGGTAGACCCAAGTGATACCTACATGATTTTTAAGAATAGCCTATTCTTCATAACTGCTAGTTGGTCAAACTAGTTCTTAAGACACATTCTTAACAGTGCCTGTATATGCAACTGGTCAGTGCCACTAATCTAAGACCTTCAGACATTTTACGCGACTCGCTGGAATACTCTATTTTGATTGGTCAGTTGTGCTATTCAGCGACAATTTACAAGCGCTACTTTTATTTTGCTACTTTCTCCGTTATTGACTAGTGAAAATGACCCCACAGGACATTAATAATAATATTACTGTAGGCTACTGTTTCAGTGCCGTCTTGTTGCTAAGCTGTACTTTCGTACTGTAGACGTTTTTTCCAGTTGCGGTATTCAAAGGTCTAATATTTCCTAATGTTAGCTTTCCTCCTGGCAATTAACCAGCAATATATCATCTTGCATGTGATTTATCGACTGAAGTTAAAATAGCCTCAGAGGACTAATAATTAATATTACTTTATTGTTGTAATGTTCGTCGTTGCTAAGCCTTATGTTTTGCACAATGTACTGAAGCATTTTTAGCAGAACCTTTAAGAGAAAATACAGGTAAGATTATAAAACACTTTTAACTCATATATTTCAGGTCAGTGTATTTATTTATTAGTCAAGAAGCAATGTAATAAAATGGATAATTTGACCGTCATTATGACAATAAGAAAAAAACTTTTTTTGCCACAGTGACGGGCAGGGTCGCATTAAGACCTCATTAGGCCCCGGGGCTATGACTTACTGCAGGGCCCCCCATCACAATAATGATATATATAGCTTAAAATAGAATTTTTATCCAATCAAAATTTTTGATGCATTGCAATTTCACAATTTTTGTTACCAATTCCAATATCACAAAATAAAAAACACTAGCCTAAGTAAAAACAAACTTACTGAAGACTAGTAAACAGTCATGAATTACAATAGAACAAAGAAATTGACCTACAAACACTTAAAGCACTGAATAAGAAATATTAGGCTATATTGTATAAAATAAATAGACTACAAATAGACTGAATAGTCTTCACTGCATAAATTCAATATACATTATTTTACAAAAGCGATTCGGTCAAGGACAGTGAGTGATTTTCTTTCTAATGTTTAATTTACATTATTGACACAAATAATGGTGTTTGCGGAACGATGTATGTTATAATACACTCACTAAACAAAGAGAGACAGAGACAGTGACAGCAGAGCCAATTCATAAAAGAACAATATTTAAAAGCACACGTCCAGTTTTGTGTGAGTGAAGGAAATCCGCTTGGGAGTGGAGAGATTCGTCCTCGCGCACATGGATCGCGTAACAATTAGGGCCTTTCGCACCGCTTTAGTTCCAGAACTAAATGTACAGTACTAAAGTACTGGGACGATTTTGCGCGAACTATTTCCCAGTACTATTTAAAGGGTTGCATTCGCACCGAGAGTGTGTACTAGGAACCGGTCGACAGT